TTCTTTCATAGATTTGGATGAGTGCAACACAGGACATCACATGTGCCATCCTAATGCCGCTTGCACTAACAACGTGGGCTCATACACTTGTGCTTGTCAGACTGGTTACCAAGGAAATGGCCGCTCGTCATGTACAGGTAACTTCGATATAAAGTTATTTTTATAACATTATTTGGGGGCTCAGACGGGAATCGGCAAACTGTTATTACCAAGAGTTGTTACCAAGAATGGCGTTAGACGATCTACATTTGTCAATAGAGGAATGCCTTTGTAAGCTTGAAGAGGCTATAAAGTTATCTTTGTTTTTGTTGTTTTTGTTGTTAATTTTATTATTGTTGTGTTTTGTCTCGAGAAATTTTGAATTACTCCACAGATATCGATGAGTGCTTAACAAAGAAATGCGCAGCTGATGAACGATGTTACAGTAACATACAATCAATTACATCAACTTCGTGTTTTAATACTGTGAAATGCTCCAGTGGCTACCGATGGGGCTCAACATCATGTATAGGTCAGTCAGTATAACATACTCTACGTTCTTTGCAGGGACCTCGGAGCGTAAATTTGTTTGGGGGGTGGGGGGGGGAGAGGCTAGCGTCGAGGAGATATTAGGGGGGTTCGGAAATTTTTGAAATCTTAACTCTCGGAAATGTCATTTCCAGCGTTTTGAGGCGTTATCAATTTTTACCGCACTCACGTTCAGCAATATTGCAGTAAATTCCTAAAAAGCTTGAATTTTAATTGTTCACGCTCAGTTTTTACACAATTTTTATAGAATATATATGGTAAAATTTCATAAGGAGGCTGTTCGCTTCTTTATTTGAGAAATTCAAAATGTCAGAAAAATTATTGCTTTTTTCTGTCTTTTCAAGTATTTTGCAATTTTTTGCTGTTATTTTACATTTCATTTCTATTCTCGTTTTCAGATATGGATGAATGTAATTATGGCACTTACTCATGCCCTGTTAACACTCACTGTGTAAACACCGCTGGCTCATACACTTGCAAATGCAACACCGGTTACCATGGAGGCAGCAGTTCATGTTCAGGTAGATTTCTTATTCTTTGTCCCTTACTATGGGCCATTTTGCTTTGCGCGACATCAACGATTGACAGTGTTTTTATAACAGAATTTCAAGGTTTTATTAAGGTGAAGTGTTTTGATCTTCTCTTTTGGGGCATCAAAAGAAATATATTTGCCTATTATGTCTCTGAACTCTTCGATTTAACCACGAATTTGTTTTTTGAGACGCAACGTTCATTGTGCATCCCAAATCTCTTTTTTCTCGTTTATTCATTTTCTAATACTATTGAATTTTCTTTCCCTTACTGCATTAGTCTTTCACGGTTCCCTGCGCCAGGTTCCTTGGAATCGAAGCGCAGAGACGACCTTCAAGATGGCGCAGTAAACCGTGAGACAGTCTATTATAAGAATTTTTAGACACTACTTCATTTATTTTGAAACTCTGTTCTTTGCAGATATTAATGAATGTACGAACGGTGTGCAYAAGTGCCCAAATAATGCACGCTGCACAAACACTGTGGGCTCATATACCTGTCAATGTAGGACTGGTTCTCATGGTAAGTCCCTGTAATATTTATTTATTATTTATAATTTATTTACTTTTTGCCAGCATTTCGTTAATTGACCGTACTTTTTGGCAGCATTTCTTGGTAAAGTTTGTTCATATTTGATATAGGCATTGTTACCGTCCAAACAAACTGTCAATACTCCAGCTTTGACCGCTTCTGTGGCCGCATAACATCCCCTGGCTTTCCTGGATTGTACACCAACATGCTAAGTTGCTATTGGAAACTCTATTCTACGACAGCAGTCTCAATCGCTATTGAAAGCTTTAATACTGAGGCAAACTATGATTACTTGAGGATCTATGATGGTCCTTCTGTTTCATCTAAAAAAATCGGTGAATTTCACGGTTTGAATCAGATGGGGACAAATACAAGTTCTTCTAGATACCTTTATGTCACATTCACAACTGATGGATCAGCGCTGAAAACTGGATTCTCTTTCATTTATAAAGGTAATTTTAAAAGTAATTTAAAAGGGGGTGTATTTTGTGAATTAAAAATGATATGGATGAAAATCTGGTCAGTCCTGGCTTTCTTCCGACAATTTCCGGAATCACAGGGAAATAAAGCTTATTCACCGCGGATTCCTTAGGCTAG